CATATTCTAATAAATCTAATTCTAATAAGATATCCTACAATTATAAAGATCCTAGTTCGATAAGGAAATAAATACAGATATAAAAGAAGAATATTTTTTTAAGAGATCCTCAGTTACTTTAAATATTCTATGATTATAACTTTAGATATTTCTTGTATTTTGTTGAATATAGGGTTAATTTCCCTTATGTATTTACCACACATAGGGCAGTGTATTTATAATAAAGAAAGGTACTCCTCAAAAGAGTAACAGAATACAAATAGGGTAAATAAAAAAGATATTATTTGATATTGTGATTAACAATATCTAACAATATCTCAACAATATCAAACAATATCAACTAATATCTAATCATATCTAACACTCCCCCTCAAGCTGGAGCATACAAATCGTATGTGCCTAGCTTGGTACAAAGATAATCCATCCTAGGTCCCCGTAAAGACTTAGTGAAAATATCTGCTAATTGATCACATGAGTTAACGAACTCAGTCTTGATGTCTCCAGACATAATCTTTTCCCGAATAAAATGGCAGTCAATCTCAATGTGTTTAGTCCTCTCATGAAAGACAGGATTAGAGCTTATATGGAGAGCGGACTGATTGTCACACACTAGTGTCATTTGAGTGACATCTCCAAATTGTAGCTCTTTAAGCAATTGCTTGAGCCAAATAAGTTCACGGGTAGCTGAGGCCATAGCTTTATACTCTGCTTCGCACTCGGATCTTGCCACAACACTTTGTTTCTTACTTTTCCATGAGATCAAGTTACCACCAATGGAAACACAATACCCAGATGTAGATCTTCTATCGGAGGGAGATCCTGCCCAATCGACATCCGAATAGCAGACAACTCTTGTATGATTATGGGAGTCATACACCAAACCTTTTCCAGGAGACTTTTTGATGTACTTCAATATACGGATGACTCGCATTCCAATGATCTTGACAAGGAGAATTGAGGAATTGACTCACCACACTCGATCGCAAAGGAAATGTCGGGCGAGTAATCGTAAGATAATTTAATTTTCCAACTAATCTTCTATCCTGTTCAGGATCCGACATTGGCTCCCCCTGATTTGGCAAGAGTTTGGTATTAGGATCCATGGGTGTGTCAACGAGGCTTTGAATTCATCAACCCAGCTTCCTCCAAAATATCCAATGCATACTTTCTTTGAGATATAACAATGCCATCGGTAGATTGTGCTACCTCAATACCCAAGAAATATCTCGAGTTTGCCAAGATCTTTGGTTTGAAAATGGTGGCAAAGGTGTTGTTTCATCCGAGAGATGCCATGATGGTCACTACACTGTAAGAACAATGTCATCGACATACACTATCAAATAGATACATCCAAGCATTCGAGTGACGGTAAAAGACCGAGTGGTCCGCCTCACTTCTAGTCATGCCAAATTGTTGAACAACGCTGCTAAATTTTCCAAACCAGACCCTAGGAGACTGTTTTAGGCCATATAAAGATTTGCGAAGACGACATATCAATCCAAAAGACTCCCCTGAGCAACAAATCCAGAGAGGTTGCTCCATATAAATCTCTTCTTGCAAATCGCCATTCAAGAAAGCATTTTTGACATCCGAGTTGATAAAGAGGCCATTGTTGAATAGCAGTCATGGCAATGAATAAACGAACGAAGCCATCTTTGCCACTTGGAGAGAAAGTATCACCATAATCCAACCCAAAAATTTGGGTATAGCCTTTGGCTACAAGGCGAGCTTTGAGGCGATCAATAGTACCATCAGGACCAATCTTGATAGCGAAGACCCACCTGCAACCAACAATAGATTTTCCGGATGGTAATGGGACAAGCGTCCAGGTTCCACTAGTCCGAAGAGCACCGAGTTCATCTAGCATGGCCTGACGCCAACCAGGGTGGGCTAAGGCTTCGGAGACAGATTTAGGAATAGACACGGAAGAAATAGTCGAGAGACAGGTATAAAATGGTGAAGAAATTCGATGATAACTTAAAGCGAGTATAATGTGGAGAAGGATTACGAGTAGAACGCGTACCTTTACGAAGGGCAATAGGAAGGTCGGACTCGTGGACGGAGCCGGAGGAGGCAGAGTATTTGGTACTGGGAGTGAGTCATGTGGCGTCTGTTGTGGGCGAGGTCTGCGACTATAAACCTGAAGGGGTGGTGGAGGAGGAGGGGCTAATGGTGGATGGTCCTCAACATAGGGATCAATGAGAACAGGAATGGGAACTGTAGCGAGATGGAGACTCAGCAGGTAGGGAAGGGTCCTTAAAGTAAAAGGAACACTCATTGAAGGTGACATCGGCGAGACACAAAATAGCGATTAAGAGAAGGAGAAAAACACTTGTATCCTTTTTGGGATCGAGTAAATCCTAAGAAAACACATTTGTGTGATCGAGGAGATAACTTATCATGACCAGGATCAAAATTGTGGACAAAACAGGTAGACCCAAAAACCTTCGGAGGTAAAGGATGGAGAGTGTCATGAGGAAATAAAATAGAATGGGGAATTTTGTTATCTAAAACCGAAGAGGGCATACGATTAATAAGATAACGAGCGATAAGAACAAGCATCACCCCAAAAATGTTGAGGAACCTCACCATGAATTAAAAGAGTACGGGTTGTTTCAATAAGGTGTCTATTCTTGCGCTTAGCCACCCCATTTTGTTGAGGGGTATAAGCACAGGAAGTTTGATGAAGAATGCCATGAGAAGCCATAAATTGTTTAAACGAGTTTGAAAGATATTCATGGCCATTATCACTTCGAAAAGTTTGAATAGAGACACCAAATTGATTTTTAATTTCATGATAAAAGTTTTGGAATATAGAAAACAACTCGGAACGATTTTTCATTAAAAATAACCAAGTGCAACGAGAGAAATCATCAATAAAAGTAACAAAATATTGAAAACCTAAATTAGACTTAACACGACTCGGGTCCCCAAATGTCGAGTGAACTAAGGCAAAGGGGGATGAAGCACGCTGGGAAACACTACGAGAAAAGGAAGTACTACTATGTTTGCCTAAGCTGACGGGACTCACACACCAAATTGGACAAGCTGGGATAAGGCTGGGAACAAGTTGCCGTAATTTGCGCAGACTGGGGTGACCAAGCTGAGCATGAAGGAGAGAAGGAGACTCCATAACTGTGCCAACATGTGGAGAAGGTTGAAGATAATAAAGTCCATGTGACTCACATCCGGTGCCAATCACTCTTTGCGAGCTCCGGTCCTGTAGGGAAACAGAAGTTTTGGTAAAAGAGATAACACAATCAAGAGATCGAGTTAGACAGCTAATGGATAATAAGTTAAAGGGGGACCCGGGTACATACAAAACATTATCAATGGACAACGAGGGAAAAAGAGTAACCGTTCCAACACCATGAGCTAAAGTTGTAGACCCATTAGCCATTATAACAGAGGGTAAATTATGAGAAGAAGTGAAAGAGGAAAATAAGGATTTGTTACCAGTGATGTGATCGGTGGCGCCTGAGTCAAGAACCCAAGGGCCAATAGAAGAAGAGTGAGTCAGACTAGCAAAAGATGTACCTGTGTGGGCAACAGAAGTAGTGGAACTGGAGGGCTTTCGATCCTCATACCATTGAAGAAAATCATTGAAGATAGCAGATTTGTCTGAAGGTACAGACGAAGAAGGAGCAATAACATCAAGAAGATTGTAACAAACACCATAAAGACGTTGAGTGTCATTGGTGTATAATAATTTGGCTTGTTCCCAAACGTCATAACATGTGCCATACGATCGAAAAATTTGTTTTAAAGAAGATTGGATGGTATTCTTGAGAACCATACATATATGAGCATCAACTTTCTTCCAACGGACACGATCATTGGAAGGAACATCATCTACCTTGGTAGTAAGATGATCAACATACCCCTGACTCTCAAGCCAAAGTCTAATATCAGATGCCCAAGTTGCATAATTCGTACCATCTAATTTATCAATGGGTAAATTCACATTGACATAATTAGTAAAAACAGATTGCTCAGACCCACCGGAGCTGACAGAGGTAACTTCAGAATTGGAAGTGGCAGCGGAAGATGCCATGGAGGAAGAGAGAGAAAAACCCTAAAACACCAAAGAGGTCCGATTGGAGCAGCGAGGACAGATCCAGAGAGAGGAGAAGGAGGCGACGCCGGCGCAAAGATCGGCGGCCTGAACGGCGGCGAGACGCGCCGCCACGCGCGGCGGAACGGGAGAAGGTGGCGCGGCTTCGGGAGGCGCGTGAGGGAGCGTGGCTGCTCCGATGACCGCGAAACTTCCACGGTGGAGGTCGCACGGAGGAGGCGAGCAAAACCCTGTGCTCGGCGGTCCGAACTGCTACTCTGGCGACGGCGGCGGCGGCGGCGGACGGCGGTGGCGATGGCGGCGGCGATGGAGGCTGCGACAGCTGCAGGTTCAGTGGCAGAGCCGAAAAAAAAATCCCAAGAGACCTTAAGCTCTTGATACCATGTTAAGGTTCCAACATAAAACCAATTGGCAATATGTGGAGTAGCCTAACATGTATTTAAACCATACCAAATGACATGAGGTAGGCGATGTGAGACTTTCAACACCCCCTCCAACGAAGCCTGCCGGACCAGGCAAAGGGTACTTTTGACCCAACTAAAGGGCAACTTTTAGCCCATGACAATAACCGGAAAGATGTTAGGCTTTGGCTCTGATACCATGTTGAATATAGGGTTAATTTCCCTTATGTATTTACCACACATAGGGCAGTGTATTTATAATAAAGAAAGGTACTCCTCAAAAGAGTAACAGAATACAAATAGGGTAAATAAAAAAGATATTATTTGATATTGTGATTAACAATATCTAACAATATCTCAACAATATCAAACAATATCAACTAATATCTAATCATATCTAACATATTTATAATACTATTCTATGTTTTGCATGGAAATAAGATTTCAACTTATTATTTTCATGTATAATGTTTCAAAAATAAAACTCTTAGAAATTCAAATTGAATACAGGTAAATCACCTTGAATGCAGGAGATGGACTACAATAATGAAGCAAGCAATGGTATAAAGTTCAGGTAAGTGCATGTTACTGAGATTTTTGAAACAAGATTCGTACCTATGGTCTAAGTGTATTATTTTAGATATTAATTGAATTTACTTTTCAGTGTAATTCTATTTTGTTAGTTTGCTAACTCAGGAATGAACCAGACTGACAGCTACCAAAAGCTGGCTCTTTGTATCCAATCTCTTATAAATGATCTGATAATTTTCCCTTCACTCTGACTCTCTCACTATTTCCTGAATTCTGTTATGATGCATGGTCTGAAAGCATGTGATGTGAATATGGTCTGGTTCTTATTATAATTATAGCGTTAGAACATATTCAACACAAATTTGGTGTCAAAAGCTGAAACTTTTTTTTTTTTTTTTTTTTGTAATTTTACTCTTAAGACTTCTGGTTTGGAAGATGAAATGAACAAAACCATTGTAAAAATATGCCTTATTTGCTGGAGTTTGGTCCTGGAATATATGACTTGTCATCAACCACAGAGCAGTTAGCATAACTAAATAGGGTAAGGGTTGCTCCCAGTTATATACCTCTTGGCATTATCTGTAGCCAATGTGAAACTTGAGTTTTTCTTAAATATACTCCCCAACTCAACACTATTGGGTTTGGTGTGTAATAATATAATAAGTGGCCGAGTAACATATCTAGGATAGACTATAATACCATCTTAAAATATGGGTAACTCAACCAAAAAAACTATCTCAGAGTGAGGGTTGCCTCCACTTATGCACACTATGTTGGCACTATTTCTACTCAGCATGAGACCTAGTTTTTCTCAATGGAAGTCTTTCCTAGGGATGCAAATTCGATGTACCTCTTGTGCTTTTATTTAGCCATAACTAATGGTTAATGATTGCTTAGTTATTTGTTATGTATGAACAGGAATTTATATGGTTCCATACCAGATGTGGTGGTTCCTTTAATGTATATGGAATACACAACTCACAAGGTCCTAGTTATGGAGTGGATTGAGGTATTTTACCATTTGTTGGCTACTCACTATATTTTGGCTAGAACAGTTCAGTGTTTGCAAAGATAACGTACCAGAGATAAATTTATTATGTATTTCTGTCTGTGAATGAGACTTGGGCATGAACACTTGATACTTACCTAGAGAAATGGTTAAATATTATCAACAGCTTCCAAAATGATGTGATGTATTTTTCGAGTTTTGGGATTTATTTCTTGGATATATGCCTCAAGTGTCTCTCTCGACAAGACAACAAGTTAAGGCACATGGGGCAATTTTGTCTTTACGCATATTCTTTTGGTTCTCACCCAAAAAAATTTAGATTTCTGCTGATGTATCATCTTACTATAGTCTGTGTATTGTAGGGGGAAAAATTGTCTGAAGTGAGGGATCTCTACCTGATTGAGGTCATATCAAGCTAGTTATTTTGTATTTATAATCTGTACAATTCTTAGATTTTTGCATCATGATGCTAAAGAAGTTCTGTATTTCCTGACGCTGATTAGGTAGGAGTTTACTGCTCATTCAATCAACTTCTTGAGTGTGGGTTCTATCATGCAGATCCACACCCTGGGAATCTTCTTCGGACATATGATGGCAAATTAGCTTATTTGGGTAATTGAAGATTGAATATTTAATATTTCAAATCCTTTGGCTTTTTGGTTAATGTTTAAACATAATTGTCTTTTTTCAAGGATTTGATGATAGAAATAAAACTCTTGGAATCACTTGATTATTTCTTTGATTTAATAATGGTGAATTCCTTTTTCCTTCTTTTGTACTAGATTTTGGTATGACTGGTGAGTTCAAACAAGAATTACGTGATGGATTCATGGAAGCTTGTCTACATCTTGTAAACCGTGATTTTGATGCATTGGCCAAGGACTTTGTCACTCTTGGGTATTTATATTTATTTATGTTCCCTTACACTACTAAACTGATTATTGTTATTGAAACTGCTTGTAAATTTTATCAGGCTTCTTCCACCAACTGCAGACAAAGAAGCTGTTACTAAGGCTTTGACAGGTTCTTACTTTATTGTGTTCAGTTAAATTTTAAACAGTTATGACTATGCTGCAGGTAATGTTCCTCCTTTGTGGAGATTATATTTGTTAGTTGCATTTGTTTATTTATAGGGGTCTTCCAAGATGCTGTTGCCAAAGGAGTTCGTAATATCAGCTTCGGAGATCTTTTAGGAAACTTAGGAACCACCATGTGAGCTCTTTGCTAATGGTTGATGCATTAGATATATAATTGTTGAACCTATAATATATTAGAAATTTCTTTTTTGTTTGGTAAGAAAAAAAGGCATGTGAAATACATTATGGAAGGTCTTTATATCTTTTACGACACTATGTGCTACATACAGAATACCATAGTCATATTGCTGATTTATTATATTCATATGTTAGAAAACTTTTGATAAATGTTTTCAAAACATGATTGAGATTTCAACAAGTTTAATGTTGGTTTTTGAAGGCATAACAACCTCCTCCTTTACCAATAGTTGGGACCAACTATGAGACGGCAAGTGAAGATAAATGTTTCAAAAACAAGACTTCACAATCAAATAGAAGGGCCGGGAATATTTGGTGAAATAGATAAAATGAGAAACAAATTATATTTCTCATTTTCTCTTGACTAAAATTTCATGATTTTAGACGTAGAGCCGTGTAAAGATTAAAGACAAAGGAAGAGTGCACCATGCAAGGGGGGACCTTAAAACAATGAGAGCAAAGAGAAATTATATACTTATCCTGTTCTAGGGTAAATGGACATCGGGTAAAATGTGTTTTGGACCTCTTTAGATTGGGTCAAAATTGGTTTAATCCCTGCTTTTTAAAATTGCTGGTTTTTGTCCTTGTATATTTCAACATGGGAATTTTTCCCAGGACAAGTCGACCAAGTCTTTATGGATCTAAAACATAGTTTACTCATAACATATATACTTCTTACAGGAAAAAAAAAAAAAACAGAATATATGTGTAGTTACTAACATTGTCAAGAATCACCTGGGGTGAAGTATGAACACTAGAGGTTGAAGGAGAGGACTGACCCATTGAACATGAAGAAGAGACATTGGAGAGAGAACCAGTTATTTGTTAGGGCTGAGGTGGGATTAAAGAGATAGAGGATAAGGGATGTTGCGTGGGTGGTGTGGTCTAAGGAAAAGGAAATAAGGTTGTGTAAGGATAGCAGTATTCATTAAAGATTACTTCCTTGGAAATGAATAATTTCCCAGTAGGTCTATAAGACACTTGTATGTATCCTTTGTGTGCAGTAGAGTAGCCAACAAAAAGACATTTTTGTGAATGAAAATCAAGCTTATGTTTGTCGTAGGGACATAATAATGGATAGCAACAACCAAAGATAAGCAAGTGATAGTCAGGTGTTTGTTTGAAAAGAGATGGCAAAATTAACTGATGAAGATGGCAATCTGTTGATCAGGTAAATTGTTGCAACACAGGTATGATCCCAAAATTTTAAGGGTAAGATGCTTGATGAAGGAGGGTAAACCAATATTGACAATGTGACCGTGTTTGCGTTCTATAACACCATTTTGGTGATTGAGTATGGGGACAAATTAATTTATGAATCACACAACTTTGTAGTTTAGAAACTTGGTCAATGGACAAAATTCACCACCCTATTCAGTTTGGATAGCTTTGAGAGGATAACGAAAGTGAAGCTCACCTATGGTTTTAAACTGCTTAAAAGCATCAAAGGTTAGCTTTGGAATTTAGAAGATAAAGCCAAGTAAAACGAGTGTGGGCATCAACAAAGGACAAGTAGTACTTGTAATAATTAGTAGGAAATATATAGGCGCAAACTTCAACAAATCACTGTAAATTAACTCGAGGGTTATTATAAACTGAATTAGACAAAGTGGAGGTAAGCAATGAGATTTACGAGCACAAAAAGCAGAACGGAAATAACAAATGCTTTTATTAGGTATGGAGATATTACAATGAGATAAGGCAAGCTTTAAAGCATGTGCATTTGGATGGCCTAACCAATTGTGCCAATTAAGAAAAGAAACATCAATTTCAGAGTGAACATCAGAAAAGGAATTAGTGTTTATGGTAGGAACATTTTGGCTGCTGGAAGGAACATTGTGAGTGAGCAAGTTGGGAAACTCATAAAGACCACCAGCTTGTCCATGCAAGAGAGCTTTCTGTGTACTAAGATTTAAGAAGACAAACATCAGAATGAAACTAAAAAAGACAGAGAATATCATCTCTCTTTATTTTTATTTTTTTTATATCTATTCTGTTAGCCATTAGATGTTCTTTCTGTTTGGCAGTTATAACTGTCTTATAACTTGTCACCTCATGTTGCCATGGCTTCTGATTTACGTATACTACTTTTACGCAGAAGCTTAGCATCCTTTTTTAAACATTCTAATATTCAGTCATATAGTTTCTCTCACTTTCTCTTTGTATATTAAATAATGCCATACTTCTTATTCACTGCTTAGTTTGTCTTCCTGATATTAGTTGTCTGTCTTGTTTATATTTCACTTTGATCATCTGTCATTTCTTTCCCATTCTCATTTTTTGCAGGTATAAATTCAAATTTAGGATACCTTCATACTTCTCGCTTGTCATTAGAAGGTAGTGCTTTGGGCAGGTTATTACAACACAACCAATAATGTCTGTTCATAATTCTGAACAATATTTTATGTCTTTAGCCTTGCTGTACTGGAAGGAATCGCAATCAGCTTCAACCCTGAGTACAAAGTTTTGGGTAGTACCTACCCTTGGATTGCTCGAAAAGTACTTACTGATAGCTCTCCTCAGCTTACATCTTCTTTAGAGACTCTTCTTTATAAGGTAAACAGAAGAGTGACGACCCAGCTTTCTCTATGGTACCTCACCTGACATCTTGATGATAAATATATGCAACTTTGATTCTCATAGCCATATCTCTCTTTCTACTTGCCATAACTAGTGTTGGAATATTTTTTAAACAGTTTTCACACAATTTTGACTCTAATCATTTTTACAGGATGGAGTTTTTAGAATAGACCGTCTAGAGTCTTTGCTGACAGAGGTAAATTATCTTAATTTTTTTCATTTTCTTTTCAGTATTAAGTCAAAATTTTATTATTAGTTATTTATTGAGTCAGTCTAATAAAACTATTTAAAAATTATATGGGTCATGATTAATTGAAATGAACCTATTTAAAAATGTATATAAATTATGATTTTAAGTTCTGATCCTGGAGCTGGATTTTAATCGTTCACTGGTCTGTTTAAAGAAAGTATTTGATTGTTGTCATTAGGTTTTTCGTTAAATCCGCTAAGGTATCCCTCTGGTTGTTAATTGTTGCTTAGGATTTAGATATTAAAATGAGTATATATTGAAACTTTCCTATTAACTTTGTCACTTCTTTCCAATTTAGTATTTATATTGTTGGTTCTGGCATTTAAGTTTTGGTCCAATTTTAGAATCACCCTACTGAGTTAATTCAATATATATTAGGCAGATATTAGTAAATCTTGTTTCTTGATGAATTTAATTTTGTTCAAAATAGCACCCTGATATTGTTTCATGACAGTCTCTACGTGCCAAAACAAAAAAGGCCATTGTAAAGCAAACTGAAGGCGCTGATTCGAGAATGGTTGTGAAGGAAATTCTTTCTTTTACACTAACAGAGAAGGTACATATTGTTCATTACGGATTAACATTATATTTTTGGCCACCTCTAACATTTCCCCACTAAAATGGATTTTGCATTAATCTTTTCAGGGTGAATTTGTGAGGGAAATAATTGTTCAAGAATTTGCTAAAGTAAGTTTCTTTTTAGTGTTTCATTAGTACTACAATAGCAGCGAGGTATATGAAAAATTGGATATGTAGAGTTAAAATTAATTGGTTAATGGTTTTAAAGGATATTTAATCGTTACCGTTTGCTTATTTGATTGCAAACTCCTGCATTTCATAATTTTTTAAGATACTCGACATATTACTTGCAATGTCCATATCACGGTGTCACTGAGCTCACCAAATGGCAGGCAAGTATTAATTTTCTATTGTAGGATTTGTATGAAGCTTTGGTTTTTAACCATGCTAAATAGTAGTGTCTCGTGTAGCTGACCAAACTTAGAGGGATAAGACTTTGTTGTTTAAGATTTCTATGAACATTTTGAATTCAAATAAATTCAGCTACAACATTGAGCTTTATGTTTTGTTCTTGTATTTTGTTGCTTTAAATTCAGTTTATCAGTATGTTGTCTACATTCTTGAAAGAAACAATAATAATGGTTTAATACCATGCTATCATGGTTTTCATCAGTATGTCGTGTTAACAAACTTAAATTTGTCTCTTCATGCATTTTGGGAAAAAAAAAATGCTGGTGATTAGTTTAATATTTTTAAATCATTAGATCCTTTATTCGTCATTTCTACTTTTTCACCCCGCAAGTTTTCTAATTTGCTTTTTAACTTAAATTCAGGGTTTGGATGCACTTGGGGTAGCAACCTTGGAGACAGCTGCTGCCAGAATTCCCTTCAGTGCTTTCTTTTATTCCCCTATATTGACTGATGAAGATATAACCAACTTGAGAACCTTTCAACGCCTTATGCTATTGCTGTTGGGTGCCAGAAGAAAAGAAGATTCCAATGCAGTAAGATTTTTATTTTACTTAAAGGAGAACTATATCTATGTATTTATAATCATGTATTATTTTCACTTATAGGGCCACTTGACATTTTACCTTAAGTTAAACCTAGGAAGCAGGACTTCAGTATGTGTTAAAGCCCATTGGGCTTCGTATGACATCATATCATACCAAATCTAGAAACCAATTATCTCCCCTACAACAAAAATAAGTGTACAAAACCAAAACATAAAACAAGCAAGTCTTTCTCTACTATGTACCAAAATCTAATTCAAATTCAAATTTTAATTGTTAAAATGTTGTTCCTTTACTATCCAGTGCTGATGAAGGACAATGGCTAGCAAATTGATTGTTGAAAGTCCCATATCGTTTGCCTCATGTCATTTGGTATGGTTTAAATACATGTTAGGTTACTCCATATATTGCCAATTGGTTTTATATTGGAATCTTAACATGATATCAGAGCCAAAGCCTAACATCTTTCCGGTTATTGTCTTGGGCCAAAAGTTGCCCTTTCGTTGTGGGTCAAAAGTACCCTTTGCCTGATCCGGCAAACTTCGTTGAAGGAGACGTGTGAAAGTCTCACATCACCTGCCTCATGTCATGAACAAAACATACACAACCAAAAACTCGAGGAGAGGTGTGAAAAAGAGGATTATTTGGAAATAGAATGGAGAAAGGGACCTTATTACTGAGAGAGGAAGATGACATCCTTTTAATAAGAAAACATGCCATTAAGATGGCATCCCCCAGTGATGGACTGGAATATGGGCACCCAGCAAAAGGGTACGTGCAGTTTCAACCAAATGTCTATTTTTTCTTTCTACTATACCATTTTGCTGTGGTGTATGAGGACAGGTGGACTGATGCAATATTCCATGTAAACTCAATACAGCAGAAAAAGTGGATGAGAAGTACTCTTTAGCATTGTCACTTCTTAAAATTTTGATTACTTGACCGAATTGATTTTTGATTTCATTTAAAAAGGATATAAAGATGGGTAACAATTCAAAGCGATCTTTCATAAGATAAACCCAAGTACATCGTGAATATTCATCAATGAATGTAACAAAATACCGAAAATCCAAAGATGAGATGCAACTGGGTATCAAAAATCAGAATGGATAATAGAGAAACTGGAAGTACACTTTGATTGAGACCTTTTAGGAAAGGTAGATCTAACATGTTTGCCTAGTTGACATGTCTCCAGGGTTAGACAAACCTTCTGCTCGTACTATCAAACTGTGTCTTCTTGGGTTATTCCTGCCTTCAAAAAGGGTATCGGTGTTACTCTCCTGAAACCAAGAAGTACTACATGTCTGCCAATGTTACATTTTTTGAATAGACTCCTTACTTTTCTCCTTCTGTTCAAGATGTTCATGTCATACAGCAGGTCCTTCCCATTCCAGTGGTTGAGTCTAATATTTCCAATGTCTCTATCGATCTCAGTCGTGATCCAAGTCTTCCTAAACCATCATTCCCTCATATTGATATTGTCAATCATAGGACCCCGATGGCTAGTCCTGTTCTCCAAGAAGAGGGTGAATCCCCCACTTTATATTCTTCTCTAACAAATCTTCCTACCACGACTCCTGGTGAAGGTGATTCAGGATGGCCCATTGCTCTCAGAAAAAGTACTCGTTCCACTCGAAACCCACATCCTATTTATAATTTTCTTAGCTATCACAGATTGTCGCCTTCTTATTGTTCCTTTTTATCCTCAGTATCTTCTATTGCTATTCCAAAAAATGTGGAAGAAGCACTTGATCACCCTGGATGGCGACAAGCCATGATTGCAGAAATGCAGGCTCTTGACTATAATGCTACTTGGGAGCTCGTGCCCCTTCCACCAGGCAAAAAGGCAATTGGTTGCCACTAGGTGTATGCTATTAAAGTCGGCCTTGATGGTGAAGTTGATCGGCTCAAGGCTCGGTTAGTTGCAAAAGCGTACACTCAAGTTTATGGCCTTGATTATTGTGACACTTTCTCTCCCGTAGCCAAGATGACTACTATTCGTCTGTTCTTCGCAATTGTTGTCATTCGTCACTGGCCACTTCATCGATTAGATATCAAAAATGTCTTCCTACATGGTGATCTTGAGGACGAAGTTTACATGGAGCAACCTCCTAGGTTTGTTGCTTAGGGGGAGTCTGAACTGGTATGCAAATTGCATCGCTCTCTATATGGCCTCAAATAATCATCACGTGCTTGGTTTGGAAAATTTAGCTCCATTGTTCAAAAATTTGGGCTAAGACGCAGTGAAGCAGATCATTCAGTCTTTTAGTGTCATACATCTCTGGGTAAATGTGTTTACTTAATAGTATATGTTGATGATATAGTCATTACAGGAAATGATACTGTTGGAATATCTCAACTGAAGGAGTACTTGTGCAGACATTTTCATACCAAGGATTTGGGAAGCCTAAAATACTTCTTGGGCATTGAAGTAGCTCAATCAAAAAAAGGAGTTGTAATCTCTTAGAGAAAATATGCTCTTGATATATTACAAGAAACAGGTATGATTGATTGTAGACCTGTAGATAGTCCTATGGACCCAAATCAGAAATTAACAACAAAAGAAGGTGAAGTATTCTCTGATCCAGAGAGATATAGGAGGCTGGTCGGAAAACTGATTTATCTCACTATTACAAGGCCCGATCTATCTTTTGCAGTTGGAGTGGTTAGTCAGTTCATGTAGGCTCCATGTGTTGGCCATTGGAATGCTATCATTCGCATTCTAAGGTACCTCAAAAAGGCTTCCGGGCAAGGATTGTTATATGAAGATAGAGGAAGCATTCAGGTCACTGGGTACTGTGATGCAGATTGAGCAGGTTCACCTGTTGACAGACAGTCTACTACTGGATATTGTGTTTTCCTCGGAGGAAATATTATTTCATGGAAAAGTAAGAAACAAAATGTAGTGGCTCGATCGACAGCTGAAGCTGAATATAAGGCAATGGCGTCACTAACTTGTGAACTTATATGGCTGAAGCAGTTCATTCAAGAGCTTAACTTCTGTGATATCCAGACTATGAAGATGTATTGCGATAATCAAGTTGCTCTCCACATTGCATAAAATCTTGTGTTTCACGAGAGAACTAAACATATAGAAATTAATTGTCACTTTGTTCGTGAAAAGTTGTTGACAAAAGAAATATGTACCGAGTTTGTTGGATCAAATGACCAACTCGCAGATGTGTTTACCAAGTCCTTAAGGGGACCTCGGATTGAGTTCATTTTTCCAAGTTTAGTACATACAATTTGTATGCTCCAGCTTGAGGAGGAGTGTTGGAATAGATTAGAAAATATATGTAATCATTATACATAAGGTAGGGGGTTGAGTGTTAGATAATCTCTGCATCTAGTTCTGAGGAGTAGTCTAGGACTATACATATAATGTAATTTCCCTATTGTATCAGTTTTTATCTATATAAATAGAAAACCATGAGAGGGGTTCCTCAAGCCCTCTAAAAACACTTTTTCTCTGTTTTGAATATCAAGTTGTTATTAGAGTCAAAGCCTAACATCTTTTCGATTATTGTCTTGGGTCAAAGGTTGCCCTTTAGTTGTGAGTCAAAAGTATCCTTTGCCTGGTCCGGTAGGCTTCGTTGGAGGGGGTGTGTGGAAAGTCCTACATCGCCTGCCTCATGTCATTTGATATGGTTTAAATACATGTTAGACTACTCCACATATTGCCAGTTGGTTTTTTGTTGGAACCTTAACATTGATAAATAAATTTTTGTTAAGAAATTGGGTGGAGATCTAATAATAATTTTAAACGTTAAGGATATTTAAAATTTTCATTTTTAATTCCTTAACCATTGGTTTAGCAAACTAAATAAGATTAAAATGTGACAACAACAAAAATTAGGAAACCCTAGTTGGCCTGGTAATAGTTTTACTTAGATGGCACGGTGGACGTTATTTACTGAAATTTGGTATGTACTTGACTGCTGGAAGTGAGCTCCTCCTCCTTAACCGGTTGCAGGGTAACAGAGGCTCCAACACCGAAGTCAATAATATGAATTCTATTTAAATCAATGTAAGAATGAATAAATGACAAGTCTGAAATAATAACAAAACGAGATATTAGTTACATGATTGTCATGCTAAGATCACTAAGATATTTCTAGGGTAAAACTTGTGGATCTATGATGATTCATAGCCAATGACCGAGCTCTTGAATGCGAATGAGCTCAATGTGCACTATGACCGAGCTCTTTACCCCAAATAGTAGGTAGTCTACATCTGGGTTGTACTCTGTTTACTGGCATGGTTATCGTCATGATGACTAATGTTTATGTTTTATCTTCAAAGAGACCTGATGCTTTTCTATTTTCATTTTATATGGACTGGGGAAGTTGTAAGGGGAAACTTGTTACATGCTAAGGATAATAATGCCCTGTTTCATCCCATTATAATTCCGAGCATATGTTCAGAAATGATGGTGATGTTTTCTTCTTGGTTTGTAAATTGCATTTGTCGTAGATAATTCAATTAGTATTTTATGTTAGTTAGGTAGTTAGTAAGCTGTAAACTAACTGCCTATAAATAGTAATGATCTATGAGTGTAAAATATTAAATTTCAGATTCAGTACACTTTTTATTCTCTTTCCTTTTTCTTCTCTTTTTTCAAGTGTGTTCTAACAAGTAGTATCTAGAGCTATTTCTTTTGGGGACCTGTGTGAGATGCCATGACATTTTGCTGTGTGTGAGAGATATTCTACTGTATAAGAAACCCTTTCTTAGGATTTCTTTCTGTTTTGGAAAATTTTTTTCTGCTGAGGAATTCTGTTAAGTTCAGAGTGTGAATTATGGTGGGTTCTAATGGATCTTTCCTACCAACCTCTCAATTCTTGATGACAAGAGCTTTATCAATGGTGTATAAATGCGTGCTATCTTTGGTTTCCAAGGGGTGTTGGAGATTGTAAAGAATGGTGTTCAGCAAGTGGAGGAAGGTGCTACAGAGGTGCAAAGGGTAGTTTATAGGGAATCAAGAAGAAAGATCGGAAAGCTCCCTTCTTGATCCATCAACGTGAGGATTCTGCCAAATTTTGAAATTATTTCGTTGACAAATAGTCAAAGCTGCCTGGGATATTTTGAACAAATCATATGGAGGTGCTGATAAAATCAAGAAAGTGAAACTTCAATCTCTTCGTAGACAATATGAGTTGTCCTTG